TCACCGAAGGCCCTGTCACCCCCAGTGGGCTGGAGCAGTAGAGCTTTGGGGCACAGCCACAGAAGGCCCCATCACCCCCAGTGGGCAGATGAACAGTGAGACCCCTCTGTAAACCAGAATCAGCTGGAACAAGGGGAGTCAATGGATATTGCTTGGATACTGAAGTGTGGTATCACGTAGCACCTTAAACATAAGCAGCAGGATTTAAAAATCAAATCTGACAGGAAGCCAGTGCAGGGACCTCATGATGGGAGTATCCTAGCAGCTGAATTTCCAACATATTGTAAAGGCATTAAAATAATCAATCTTAGAAAAACAAAAGAGTGAACTGGGGTTTTTTCTACAGTGTCAGACAGCACAGAATGCAGCCTGGCAATGCTTCTAAGATGTTTCTGTTTTTTTTTCCTGATATCTGTTTCTTTGCTTATGTTTCTTAAATTTGCACTGGATTAATATTTGACTTAAGGTTAAGATCAGATGCCAAGTTCAGGTTTGACTCTCACATCTAGGCCTAGAATTTGGCTCAGCGTGAAGATGTCGATTCTATGTTTTTGTAAGAAATAATAAAAGCTGTCGGTTGTGGGAGGAAGAGGCAGCTTCCTCAGTGCGTTTAAGTGAGGGGAATTGAATTCTGCAGTGTGGGATTGCAATGGGCTAAGTGTGTGTTTGGCTGTCAATACAGGTCTCTTGAACGGTCTGAATATTTGCCAGAATAAGAGTTTTGACAAGTCTGTAGTTTCACATGGTGAGACAAACACAGCTGGGCTAGCAGGTGGCCGGTCGAAGGCGGCAGAGCAAAGCAAATGCAGACATGGCAGGAAAAAAAGGAACATTTCTGTGGTCCTGAAAGAAGGCACACCGGGTCCTCAGAGCTCCCCAGCTCAGGCTGTCAGATGTTTCCTTTCTGTTACACGGTATCACATGAGATTAACAGTCTGCCTTAATCTTCTTTGAAGAGCTTCCTTGGGATGTCGGCCTAGGGGCTGATATTGTTGAAGTAAAAGGATGGATTGCACTAGTTACTGTTGGGTACCTGAGCTGTGAGTGAAAAATACAACAATGAGCGCTGGTCCTGTCTGACTTTACCCAATAAACCACTGTGTATGGCAATTTTTCACCAGAGTTCAGCCAGTTGTCCTGTCCTGTGGTTTGGCAGAGCGTTTGTGTTCCCACAGTTCCCCACTTCGCACGGCGCCATGTTACTGCGCCGGCTGCTTCTGTCCTGGTTCTGCTGCTTTTAGTCTTGGCTTACCTGCGCGAGCCGCTGGGGCCGGTCACCCTGTTCTGCGAGCACCCCAGCGAGCGACGTGGGGCGGAATGTCATCCGATCCTGTCGTTCTCCGCCGCCTCGGGGGATAGGAATCCAGATGTGGTGCCTTCCGAGGCTGCGGACTCGCCATCTTTGCAGACAGTTGGCGTTAAACCGGCTGTTCATCATTGCTGCAGCCCGGGGCCCCTGGCCTGTCTCGTGCAAAAGAGGTTAAAATCCAGGATTTAAAGTATCAAGAGGGACTTGAAACATGGTTTGGCATCGTGTTCCTAGCGCATTCCTCATATGGGTCAGTTTAACAGTTTAACACCTCGGCGTCTTGCTGGTTGTCTTTTATTTAGCTCCCCCCCACCCCTTCCAAACGCTTTCTAGCAGAGAGAGCTTGTTTATAGCCGGACGCAATTCTTCGACGGAGTATTTACGGTACGTTTCCAGCAGGCCACTAAGGAATGCCTGGAACGCTGTTTCAGATTTCTGTTCAAGATGTTAAAAAACAGCTAACGAGAAAGTGGAGCAGACGGTTCTTCCTCTCCCCCTGTGGCGAATGTGCGGGCCTGTTGTAGCTCAGGAATGAGACTGTTTGGGTGGTGGGTGTTCTGTCCTGTTGCACTGTACTGTCTCGGTGCTCTGACCCCTCCTGTCCTGGTTCACCCCTTTCTCTCTCTCTCTTCCCCCCCCCTCCTTCTCCCTGGGCAGGTGGGGCACATGTGCGCCCAGCAGCCCCTGCAGGGAGAGCTGCTCCAGAGGTGCCAACAGCTGCAGTCACGCCTCTCCACGCTCAGGATAGAGAACGAGGAGGTCAGTCCAGCACTGCAGGACCCACGGCAGATGTGTCGGCTCAGCTGCTCAAAAGAGCTTGTGTGTTAGGGAGGTTACGAGTGCATGTGTCAGCTGTGTCCCGGGTGTCTGCATTAGTACAGCACATGTGCGTGGTGCAGTTTATCATTCCAGTGCATGCACACTGTTCTCAGGTCAGGTCTATCAATGCATGACTTTGTCAAATTCAACACACTGGTTCTGTATGTAACAATCATCTTGGGTAGAATTTGCCGCAGCTTGAGAATGAAATGTGTAACATTGCTATTAAACTCAGAAATGTATGGCTGGTGTTTTTTTTTTCTCATTTCTTGGCTCTAACAGCTTCTGAGTGACTAAATGATAGGCAGAGCAACAGCCAGAGCCCTTGAACTCTGTCAGAGGCCCAGAGAAAAAGGAAATCCTATATTTTTTGGTTTGTTTCTCTCTGTGCAGGTAAAAAAGACCATGGAAGCCACCCTCCAGACAATCCAGGACATGGTGACCATCGAGGACTACGACGTGACCGACTGCTTCCAGTACAGCAACTCCATGGAGTCGGTGAAGTCCACCGTGTCCGAGACCTTCATGAGCAAGCCCAGCCTGGCCAAGAGGAGGGCCAACCAGCAGGAGACAGAGCAGTTCTACTTCACGGTACGGGAGACCACCTGTGTGCCTGGAACCCCTCCTGCAGCGGGTCACCCCTCTTCAGCAGCCGAGCCTGTGAGCAGCTATGCTGACTGATCTTTGGAAAGCTCCTTGTGTCCTGGGGTGGGGAGACGGCAGCAGAAGCCCCACTGTACCCTCTGTCTGAAGGATAAGGACTCTGGGTCCCATGGCCCTCTCATGAACTTCCCTTATAATAAAGTAGGTTTTGTACCTTTAGCATGAAACTCCAGGCTGTTATACGGAATTAGGGTGAGGGATGGTGTAGTGTGAATTGATGCAGTCATGGTGAAAGCTGACCTAGATACAGGCGCACACACTGCCCCCAGTCCCTCCCACGCCGAGCCGGCGGACAGACAGAGCTGCAGACGGAGGGGAGGAGAACTGGCGGACAGCGCCGGCGGCTCTCCCCTGGTCCAGCAGGTTGCGGGAGCGGATCGATTTCCCTTCAGAGTGTCAGCGTCCCAGTGGACCCGTGACTTCGCAGTTCGTGTCGGGTTCTTTTCTGAACGAGTTTACCGATGCTAGCCCTCCGAGGGCTCGCCTGGTTTTTGAAGGACCTTGGGGAGGTGAAATGTGCACTTTCCAATTTCATCAAGTTAATAAAAAAGCCATCTGTGCTCATCAGGATCAAATACAGTAGCTTTTACAAATATGGTGCATGAGCTGTTTGAGCTTTGAAAACTCCTGTATTACTAGACATTATTACCGCTTTTAAGGATCAAAAGTGATTTTAAACACACACACATACAGGCAGTGCTCCCATGAGTGTCTCATACCTGCAAGGAAGTTAAGGGAAGGATCCCCTTTTTGAGTATTGAGGATTCTGTCTAGTAAAAAGAGAGAGAAATGCCCAAAGGTTAGCTTTCATATCATCATACTCTGTTTCAAAAATGTTAAATTCAGTCCTTTAGTCTTTTTGTTCATGGTTTGTCTTTTTGTGTCACTTTTGGTTTGTCTTGTGTAGTTGGGTGAGGCATCTCAGTCCTGCATGAAAGTGTGGCTCATTGTTTCACTTTTTCAGGGACAGGCTGAGGTTGTAGGTTTCTTGGCAGAATCATGGAGGGCAGAGATCTGTCACACAGCGAAGAGGTGGTGGCAGGGAGTTAGGGGACAGGGGTGATTAGGGCTCAGGGATACTCCGCAGGGAGGGGGTATGGGGGGAATATTCATCAGAACACAGATCTTCTAGTAGGAAACCTTCACTGACTTCTTATTTTACTCTGCTGTTATCCTGTGGTTCTTCTGTCCATGCTGGGCACACCTCAAAGACACACACACACACACACACACACACACACACACACGCTCCCTTTCCCAGGATGGGAATCCATTGAAGGGTTCGAGGACCTGTGTCGGCTGTACCACGTCTTATCGTCTCCACCGTTTTCATTTGCAGAAGCTGAAGGAGTTTCTGGAGGGCAGGAACCTGATCACTAAACTGCAAGCCAAGCACGACCTGATCCAGAAGACACTGGGAGAGAGTGAGTGGCCCGGGTGTTGTGGGAGGGTGAGTGGGTGGGTGAGTGGGGTGTTTTCTGTGTGTCTGTGGAAGGTAAGTGGTGCAGATCTAATTCACTCACACGGGCATGGAAGTTAAATCAATTTTCTCCAGTTTGCAGCTAGGTCACTTCTGCTTTTTACCGTATGATATTTTATTTGCCGTGCCTTAAGGAATGGAGTCGTGACACTAAAACATACCAGGATATATCGTGGCACTGCATGGATGTTCATCAGGGCAGGGTGTCCGGTATGGCCTGAGCAGCCCTTGTGTGTTCATCACAGCCCTGCGTCGCCACAGAAGCAGCACTGGTCCTCTGTTCCCACTCCGTAGGTTCATGACCACTCTGTTAGCAGCACGGCACACAGAGGCTGTATTGTTGAACTGGCACTGTGTGTTCTGTTTCTGTGCTGTAATTCCATGGGGCAGGAGGGGCCGCCCTGTCCTGTGTCCAAGCTCGGAACGAGTCCATCTCCAATATTCATTCCACTTGACAACATGCACGAGCAGCCTTGTTTCAGGTGCATGGCGATGGTGCTTATTTCTGCCATGATCGTGCAGTAAGGTATGGTAGGAACGTCCGTTTTAAGGCGCAGATATTGTTGGGTGTACTGGGTAGGTGTTGAGCTCTTAAGTAGAATCTTCAGCAAGCTCAGTGGTGGGATAGTGGTGAAATCAGCTGGCAAGTCTTTCTTCAGTATTCAGCATGTTCTCACTGTAGTTAACTTTACCGTTCTGGGTTTGGTCAAGTCACTTGTGGAAGTCCCCTTACTGCCTGGCCCACCTGTAGCTCTTTTCCGAACCCTGCCCTGCACCCCGATACCGCAGATGTAAGGTCTTAACCCTTATCTCTCTCTCTCCTTGTCTCGTCAGGCCAGAAGACCGACTGCTGCCTGGCCAGGTAGGTGTGGTGAAGGAAGCTAAACCTGAGAGCAAACACAAACACGCTCAGTAACGCTCACTGCCAAAAAGCCCAAGCTAGGAGCCAGGATATTTTTAGGAGTTTTTATTTTTATTTCATCTTATCTGCTGTTTAACAAACATCTGCCAAGTTTGTGGGTGTAACTCTTAGTAGTGAGCTGGATGAGAGAAATGTTTAATAGGCCAAATCCATTAAGCCCCTAAATAAAGATGTACTAATTTAGCTGGAACATGAACAAGGGAATGGTTTTTGTTACCGGAGCACCAAGGCATTCCAGAAGTGAGAATTCCAGCCCCTCTTGCCCCCGGCGTCAAATTCCATCCGTCGTGTTCTGATGGTTTTAGGATCTCTGGACAAACAAGATGTTCACTGGGAAATGGAGCTGAGTCCAGTTGCAATTTTAGTGACACAGAATATTGCAGAGATGGTTGTCATGTCTGTTTCAGACTGTTGAGGGCAGGTATTGTTCATTTTGCTACTTCAGCAGAGTGTCTGGAGTATCTCCTTTACCTGATGTCTTAGTGCTAGTTTTCTCCACAACCCACACCAGAACAAGCAGGTTTCCTGATAGGGAATGGGAGCATGGAAAACGTTTCCTTCTTTATTCACTTCAGTGTTTCCACCATATTCTGAAAGATGGATCCAGATGGGGCTTTTCCAGGCTGCACATGGTTTCAGGACAGCCTGGGTGTCACAGAATTGCTTCACTTGGGAGTAAAGGTTGTGTAATAATCAAGTGCCTTGTTTTCACTCTTGCAGCGGAAGGAGAAACTCGACAGTGAGGAAGCAGGTAATTTTCACTTCCTGCTGGCACGGCGGTGCCTCCGTGTCTGGTTGTGTGATCCAGTCCACATCCACTGCATGCAGGGGACTCTCCTCCACCCGACAGGGCACAGGTCCACCTCTCAGGTCCCCGTCAGGGGCGACAGAGGAGACCACCAGTCTAGGGTGGTGCTAGACCCTTGCAAACAAAATTAAGAATGCAGCAGGGCTTATTTTACTTAATTGTTCTTGGCCAGGGTTAGCATAGCTCACATTTATTGTTTTTTAACTTCTGTATTTGGCTTACACTTTTAGCCAATGCAGCTTAAATTTAAATCTGATTATACTAGTACTTTGGTCAAGGGCATGGCAGTAGTGTCTCACCTGGGATTCGAACTCACGTCCTTCCTGTTATGAGTCCAGAACACTGACCACTGCTCCACACTGCTGTCTGCTTCTTTGGCATAAATATTTAATTCCTGCCATCCCATAGGTCATCTCTGAGGCTGCCTGCACTGTTCTGAGACAACTGGAATGATTGATTCTCTGCATTAGCGCATAGTGACAGTACATTTAACAGTGGTGTGTTGGGATAGTAGGGTTTTCCCACTGCATGCTTCAAGAAGTCATTCTTGCTCCTGATGATCGATGATCTTATTAATTACAGACGGACACCCCATGGACAATCAATCAATTAGTGCGATTGAAGGGAGAAAAATTAGTTCTGTTGCCCAGGACAAACCTGTTAAAAAGAAAAGCTCAGGTTTTTCAAACAGACAGCCAGACAGAGACAAGTGCAATTTGGGCATTTAAGAATAACTGTTGTTTGCTCAGACTTGGTTTCCACTCAGTTTTCCCCCTGGTGAGATGCTGTCGAGTTTCTTTGGTTTTTTCTCACCCTGTAATCATCGTCCGTCATCGATTTAATTTTAGAAGATCCTTCCCTTTCCTAAAAGAAGGCTGCAGGGAAGTGCTGACCAGTAACATACTTCATGCCATCACGACATACTCATGAGCACACACACAGTCCTGCTCTGCTGCTCGGAGGGCATGAGTACTACACTGCCCCCTGGTGTTCTTCTGCACTCATGACTCCCTTCTCTGCCCTGTATGTGTGTGGAAACTATTGTCCGCAGCTTTAAGCTTGTTTGAAAATCAAAATTGAACAAATGCTTTTCTCCATCACGTATATCTGGAATAATATAACAGGAAAAGAGAAGCTTATGAAATCTTACATTCAGCATTCTGAGACGTCATTAAATAAAAGTGCAAAGGTTTTTATTATGAAAATGTTCTGTTTGATATGCATTTTGATAACCAGTTATTATTATGAAATGAATTCATTCTGGGAGCTTGAAAATAAACTGCATTGTGAAGTACCAGGTATAGAACGTGTGTGACACTTGGCTACTGACCTCGGCTAATTGAGTCAATTCCCTCTTATCCTTGTTGGTGGCAGCCAGGATCAGTATGTGAGGGGTTCATAAAAACTGTGCTCGTCTCGAAATGCCTGGGAGAAGCATCCTCTTGTTCCCAACAGTCTCCATCAAAATAGATGAGAAGTGGTCTCCTAGCAACAGTGGGCTTCTGCTGCTCTCCCCTCGGCGCCTGTTGCCATGGAAGAGTAACCAGGAAGAGGTTTTGAAATCTGGCATCCAAATTCTGTATCCCTCAGCACAGGCTATTTTTCTGTCTTAAGACCATCAGAAGAGGTGGCTCGACTCTGCTAACCTCGCGCGGCAGACATGTCTTGGGTCATTTACATCTCGGCCGTACCTGGTTTTATTTTTCTTGTGCGTTATTCCCCATCACACTTCCTGTCTGTCCCCTCTGCAGGACTCCAGCCAGGTCATCCCCCTCATGGTGGAGAGCTGCATTCGGTTCATCAGTCAGCACGGTGGGTGGGGCTCTCCTGGTGGGTGGGGCTGGGGGGGGGTTCCAAAGGAGTTATGCTCATATCAAAAGCGAGACTCCCTGTTTATTCCTTTCCCCCCCAAAAAAATTTGTGAGTCTCCCAAGTGGCTCAGCCTTAAATTGCGCACCTGTACAGAGCCTGTTCTCTGTAGTCTAGTCACTAGCTGACCGTGACCAGGGTTCACGGTTGGCTGAGCACTGCTGAGGAAGAGGGGGATAAGTCCAGCCAGGACGTTCTCAGCTCTGGGAGACGCAGCGCAGCCTGAAGTCTGGCGAATAGTGTACTCCTTGGTTTGATGTTTTGTGGCCTGCTGTATCTGCAAATGCATAGGAGATGAAGCTCTCCTTGGGAGCAGGGTGTGAGCACAGGTGCTCTAACACGGCCTCCCCAGGGTAGCAGCTCTGCTCTCACATGGCTCTGGGGCTCTGACGCCGCAGGGGAGCTGCGTGTGGGGAGGGGGTACACATTCTCAAGGACAAGAAGGGAGGAAGAGCAGGGTTGGTGTTGCCCTAATGTTCCAGAGGGCATGCTAAAGCGTACTAGAGCACGTGTGTTCTCTTGTGCCGATGTTCCAGAACGCGTACTAGAACATGTGTGTTCTCTTGTGCTGATGTTCCAGAACGTGTACTAGAGCACTCCTGTTCTTGTGCCGATGTTCCAGAACGCGTACTAGAGCACGTGTGTTCTCTTGTTCTGTCCTCACGCAGGTCTGCAGCATGAAGGCATCTTCAGAGTCTCGGGGTCACAGGTGGAAGTCAACGACATTAAGAACGCCTTCGAAAGAGGTGAGGTTTTTTTCACACTTGAAATGATAAAGCTCTTTTAAAACTGCTGTCAGGCACTCTCTTGTTATGTAGTTCTGTGGAATTAAAGAGGACAGGCCAGTACCAGTGCATCTTCTTTGATATGTAACAATTCTGATAAAACACCTGGTATTTTATCTGTTTGTTCAAACAAATGACCACCTTTTCTAAACTTTGTAATTGGTTTGTAAACGGAGTGAATCATTTTTGCCATGATCCACATCAAGTGGCAATGTGTATTTGGAAATAGATTTTTTTAGGAGTACATATGCTTACCTTAATTCTGTAATTAATTTTCAATAACATCAATGTTTTGATAAATAAAGGTGTTATTCTTTGTGATGAACTAACTCCTTAAAGCCTACCTGAAGTGCCTGTAAACTGCAGGGTACTGCGATAACAGAATAAAAGCAACATATCAATATTGTTGTTTTTAGGCTCAGAGAAGACAAATTCTGAAACGTCCCTTAACAAAGCACGGGGCCTTTTAAAGACTTTTCATTTGCAAGGGGTATGGCAAAAACAGAAGGGTGGTTATACAAGCAGCAGCCTGTAATTATACGACAGGCTGCTCAGATCACAGAGAGTGAGCCGCTGAACAGTCTGGCTGTCTGCTTGTCACCGCAGGAGAGGATCCGCTGGCCGGAGACCAGAATGACCATGACCTGGACTCCATTGCCGGCGTGCTGAAGCTCTACTTCAGAGGCCTGGAGAACACCCTCTTCCCGAAGGAAGTCTTCCACGACCTCATTTCCTGTGTTTGTAAGCATATGGGCCTTTTATTATTAGCACGTCCCGTGCAGCCCTGCTTTTTGTTTCGTTTTGTTCTTGTTTCTGCACCGCCCCTTCCTGGACAAGGCAGGATATTGCTGCTACAGTGCAAAAGAGAGCCCTTGGAATGAACCAGTCTGTGGAGACCCTGGAGTCAGCCCACAGTATATACAATGGGCCTGACTCCCAAGTGGAGTTAAACTTGGGAGTCTTCAAGACAAAGTAGGAGGTGCCTCTTTGCTTAGAGAGCTGTCCTGCCGCAGGGAGCAGGCAGTTCACCTTGCTGTTCAGTGACAGTGGGGCCGCAGTTCACCTTGCTGTTCAGTGACA